TAATGTGCGTCTCACTTCCTGGTTGTGGATATAGATTGTGGATCTCCTGATGTAACCCAATAGTTTATTTGATTTTGCTGACTGCTCGTACACTTGTCTATTCCAGGTTAAGCTTTTATCCACAAAAACGCCGAGATCTCGTTCACATTCAGTCTGTACTAAGTTTCCGTTGTTAAGTTTGTAATTAAATGTTAATGGTGTTATCTTTCTTGTTATACGTTGTGTCTTGCATTTCGTTTCGTTAAAATTGAGACCAGACTCTTCAGACCACGTTTCTAAATGTTTGAGATCGTTTTGAAGCTGTTCGCTGTCTTTGACGGACTTGATGTTTTTGAACAGTTTTGTATCATCAGCAAACATAGCAACATGACTAGATGTAACTGTATCTGGAAGGTCGTTGACATAGAGGCTGAATAGGACTGGACCGAGGATGGACCCTTGAGGCACACCTGATGTAACTGGCAGGGTAGTAGAGGTGGAACCTTGTGCAGTTACACGTTGATGACGATTGGTTAGGTAAGATTGAAACCACTGCAAGAGACTACCTCCAAATCCAGCCATCCGTAATTTGTGCAACAGATGTTTATGGTTTACCTTATCAAACGCCTTAGACATGTCAAGATACACAGCATCGACTTGACCTCCAACATCCAAAATCGAGCCAATATAGTTGAGAACTTCGAGAAGATTGGTCACGCATGATTTTCCTCTGGTGAATCCGTGCTGCGAGGTCTTAATTACCTGGTACAGCTGCTCCCTGATGTTATAAAAGACGCAGCGTTCCAGAACTTTCGACACAATTGAAAGGAGTGAGATTGGCCGGTAGCTTTCAGCATATTCTTTTTCACCTTTCTTGTACACAGGAATTATGTTGGCGATTTTCCAATCTTCCGGGAGAGCACCTTGACTTAGGGACTTATTAAAAAGCGTGCACAAAGACGTTGAAATAACAGGAGCAGTTTCTTTAAGCAGACGGGCTGGGACGTTGTCAGGTCCTGTGGCTTTTGTAACATCCAATGTTTCAAGAACTGCTTGAACTTCCTCAACTGTCAGAATTATCTCAGACAAGACTGGAGTTTCGAGGTCATGGCTGGTTTCTTCCCTCAAAGAGTCATCAGAGTCAAATACTGATGCAAAGTAGCTGTTAAACATGGACGTGATATCATCAGGGTTGTCAGCTTTGATCCTGGATGACTGGGATTCATGACCGTTCTTTGTTCCAGCTGTAGAGATTGTATCTGGGATGTTGCGCGTTTTGGACTGATGTTTCATTGCGGACCAAAATCGTTTTGGATTCTCTTGGAAGTTGTTCCCCAAAGACACATAAAATTGTTCTCGACTTTCGCGTAACATACGTTTTATAGTGGCACGTAAATGCTTACATTTTTCGCGTAGATGACTCGTCGGGGACGATCTTAGTTTTTTCCGCGCAGTGTTCTTTTTCTTAATCAGGTGTAAAATCATTCCGTTTATCCAGGGCAGTTGTTTTCGTCCTTTTAGTTTTATGCTTGGGACATATTTCGAAACAGCGCCGAGAAAAGTATTTCTCCAAGATGTCCAGTCATCGTTAATATTGTCATGTTCCATACACAGAGTTAAGTCAATGGTAGATAACAAGGAACGTAAACCTTAAAAGTTGCCCTTTTTGTAGTTGTAAACGTATCTTTGACTCTTTGTTTTTGGAATTTCAACAAATGCATTAAACTCGTAGTGGAGTACACAATGGTCTGTAAAAACGACGGCGTTGTCTGGCGATTCCACATCAGTTATGTTAACATGTTCAGGTACATTGGTAATAATAAGGTCAAGGATGTTGTTGTCTCGAGTTGGGATGCTGTTGATCTGGGTTAGGAAATGATCATTTAGGGCTTCGATAAATGAATTACTTGTGTTAGGAGTTTCACCATTGTTATTCCAGGAAATATGTGGCATATTGTCAATTGAAGTCACCAGAAATCATCACCTTATCGAACTGATCACACACTTGGTCGAGGAAAGCATTAAACGTATCTACGTATACCCAGTCAGAACCAGAATTCGGTGGGCGATAACAGGAAGAGAAAAGTACTTTTTGATCGTGATGTGTCGTAAGTTCTGCTGACACTATTTCTGTTTGGTCTACTGATTTTGATGTAGGGAAGTACCGTTTGACAGTTGACACTTTTGAACGAATCGTTCTTCACTGCGATTAGAACCCCTCCAGCACGTTGAGAAATGCGATCTTTCCGGTAAATGGTATAGTCATCAAACGGTAAATGGTAGTATATTGAGATTGTGATTTCATTCGATGTAGAGAGTGAGAAAAGCAAGAAATATAATATACGTTCAAATTCAACAATGGCGACAAGGATAAAAATTTAAAACAACGACAATGGCTTCGTTTGTGTCTCCAATGCCACCATTTCATCCAGACGAAGAAGTCTGACCTTTTTGTCTTGACCTTTCATGTTGCAACATATAACAACATATGTATACTATCGCCCGTATTCTAAAAACTCACTCACACTCACACTCAATGAGTGGAAGTTCAATCTAAGCTTCTCTCGAGTGTCATTGCTATTTTTGAATAACTGGAGGGTTAGTGTCGTACCTTACTATGTCACTACTCACCCTCCAGCTGTTCAAAAACAGCATTGACACTCAAGAGAAGCTCAGATTGAACTTCCACTTGTTGAGTGTGAGTGAGCTTTTAGAATACAGGCTAATTTGTTAACTGAACACACTGAATGAAATTATATAAAATTATAATTAAAATTACGTGGCTAAAATAAGATTAAGTTTGTACGTATATGTGTCTGTCAACAAAGGACAATTGTTAAATTGTTCAATAAAAAGTGGATGAAAGAATAGCAAATGTTAGCCTTTTGGCCATTTTAAAATTTATGCATAATACTTGACTTAATTCGCCAGCGGAACCATGCAGTCTCTGAGAGTCTGAGTGCCCTTCAGGTTACAATCTTCTCATCAAAGTATTTAATTGTTCAATCACCATTTGATTATACAACAATTTTCTCAATGTCTCACAATGTGCCGCTTTCAAATTCATCATTTTAGCATTATAGCGACACCATATTGAGGTCGGAATGCCAAAATAGTGTTTTCGTTTTATTTTCGTTTTAAAAACTTTATTGGGCAATGTCGAAGCGCTAAGAGTTCCAAATGAAACTTGAATACCAATGCGAGGTACTGCGTCACATACAGTACGAATGGAATACAATTTTCAAATAACATCAATTATACACAAAGTCTAAATAAATGAGAAAATTTCCCCAACATACGCAAGTTGGTCATTGGGGTACAGTAGCAAGCAGGTGGGGTAACACTGACCCTAAGGGCACCAGATTTCATGACAAGTCCTTTAAATAAAATTGCGAAGCCCGTACTAATCTCGCAATAAATCAACAGCTTTCGACGATATTTTTATTTCAAATATTCTGGCGTTGTTTCAAAGACACTATTCTTTGTAATTTTGTAAACCTTTAATTTGTTATCAGATTCAGCTGGTTGGGCACAGCAGTGGGTCGAATAGTTAAAGCCTATATACAGTGAAGGTGACGTACCTTCTGGAAGCCTATTATCATCCCACGCAGAACGCGTCTTTTGCCGCACATGCAGTCGACGCGAGGTAAGAATAATTGAGTCAGTATGCGCCAGCAGAGCATTTTATCTTTAAATGAGTTTCTAGACAACAAACCAATCGAAACTTGTGCATTAGAAAGGTTCAGATTTAGACTTCCACTACCGCTACTCACTACTGTCACCATGCATTATATCGAATCGAATGCATTAATTGTGCACACGATTTACCAATCAAATGCGTATTAAGCCAGCGGCTACCGGTAGTTGTCAGTTAAAGTCAATGTAATCTGAACTTCTCTACTGATTCAGAGTCATATATGACCACATTTCTTGCATATACACATACAGATTGTGCGGTTAGCTGTCCTCGAAATATAATAATAACAATAAATAACAATAATAATATTAGGCCTTGACTTCTGTCCTGTAATTAACTACATAATACAAACTATAAGTCAAATTTAATTGTACCTTAAACTATAACTAGCACAAGAATATACAGTTCAAATTCAATTATAATTGTATCTAAAATGTTTTATATACACTCTTAATTTAATTAAAGGAATTTTGAGATATTGATAATGTCCAGTTTTCTCAAGAAGTGAACCTTTAATAATAAAGATGCGCTACTATCAGGAAATCGTTTTGTCTAATATTGATCTTTCTTTTAATAAATCTTTCTCACGCATTCGCACGCATAGCTCCAAATCTGACGAAGGTTTCAAATCTGTCTGGACCCATGTTGAAACAGCTCGGCTTCGACTTTATACGCGGAGTAACGTGATTTTCTTTAGCCATTTTCATAGTTGTCTGTATGTTCAATTGTGACGTCACATCCAGCCCGACAAGTTTAGCACTAACGTCCCACAATTTCTTGGCTGCGATATCATCTTGCGCATGTTTCGAAGGCTCGTCTTCTTTACAGTCGGAAAAATACAAGCCACTAACTCCCTCTAATTCTTCAGACACTGCGAGATGAATCTGAGTTTGAGCGCCTTCTTCTACCGTCTTTCCGAAATGCCTGAACAACACATTCCATGTAAATTTCTTCCATGGTGAGAAATGCCTTCGAATATCTGTAGAAATTTTACCAGGATGGAGCGAATTCACTGTCACTCTCGTGCCTTCTAAACGTCTTGCCAACTCTCTTGTAAATAAAATATTTGCAAGTTTGCTTTGAGCATAGGCCATGAATCCGTTATAGGATATCTCGCTATTCATGTTCTCAAAATTCAGTTCAGGTGCCGGTCCAGTTGGCTGTCCACGATGGAGTACCGAAGATACCACGACAACACGAGAGGGTGCCGATTTCTTTAAAAGATCAAGGAGTAGATTCGTGAGTAAGAAATGTCCAAAATGGTTAACTCCCACTATGGTTTCAAAGCCATCTTCTGTCTTGAAGAATTCAGGAAGATTAAAAACCCCGGCATTGTTAATTAAGATATCCAATCTCGCCTCGTTGTTTTTTACGTCTTCAGCAAATGCCCGAACAGACTTTAACGAAGCAAGGTCTAGGTGTTTCACAACTACGCTTTTATTACCAGTGTTTTGGACAATTTCCTTCATGGCTGCTTCGGCTTGGTTTAGATTACGACAGGCCATGATTACACGAGCCCCTCTTCTCGCGAAATCTGCCGCAGTTTCTTTACCAATGCCAGTATTTGCTCCAGTAACAATCGCCGTCTTGCCGTCCAATCTGGCTTTGCTTGTGCAAACACCACCCGCGATGTACGGTCGTAGGATATAGATGTGAAACAGGACATAACATGCAATAAGTATTGCAAGTATTAGTAATGGATACATTATGTATATTAATTTTCTATACCCTCTGACTTGCAATTTATACAGAAGTAAATTCGTCGCAACCAAAGATGGATAATGATAAATCTATTTTGTGGACACCACATTTATATAGGGTACAATTCGGTTTGGTTAGCACGTGGTACACGTCCGTTGTTAAATAATTATAATTTTATACCCTTTAATTATCATCGTACTGTTACGTGCAGTTTCAATTATAATTTTATAAGCAATTTGATTCATTGTGTTGGTTAACACATGCAACGTGAGTGACGTGTGCCACGTTGTATAAATTATAATTTAAAAAAAGTTACTATTCAACGTAATATATCGTTTTTGACACTGAAATTGTTCCCATTCGAACATTAGAAAAAAGGTTTCACCTTGACCGTGGGTCTTTATTTTTAGATGTCGGAAATCACGGAACATCGAAGTATGTAGAAAGTACGATTACGTGAGAGATCCATTTCAAAGAAACAACCAGCAATGCCAACAAAATAGTAAACAAAGTTATTTCGTGGTGTCTTATGAAAATAGAGTCCAGTTGAATTCAGACGAATCATGTAGACGTATACGTTTACACGCTGCAATTTGTCGTGTACGATTCATAAACTGGCGCACAGTATGTGGTTGCATTTGAAAGCGCCATAAACTAATTGAAGAGGAATTGCGGCGTCAGCAGTAATTTTCATACGCCAGAATACGAGTTGTACAAACTGCCCAGTTCGACAAGAATGAATGTGAGGTAGTGAACACGGGCTATCTGTGTGGCAGTAACGAGACGAGCTCATGGCGTACCAACCTCGTACCCAGGGCTTCTGCGCTTATTGATGGCGTACTGGATACCTGAATAGCTATGAGGGTCCTGGGCACGCTCCCCCGGAAAATGTTGAAATTTAGAAGTTCAGAATGGCTTACGTTTTCAGAGTGACATTTGTTTAGCTTTTGCCCTAAATATCTGTATGGGTCTTAATTTATAACTAATTTTCATATAAAGCTCGAAAACTCAATATTTTAAGCTGCCCATTTTTAGCTCCCATTTTACGTTTAGAACTAGCCATTTTGAAAAATGGGAGGCATTAGGATGACCGCTGCACGAAAAATCGCAGCGTGTAAACGTTTCCTTTTTCTAACCAGCCTGCAGATTAATTGCTACAAGTCGCGGTGACGTCGACTCGCATTGCAACGAGTAAAAATTACGAGTAAAACCAAGTGAGTTGACTTGTAACAAATCTAACCAACCTCCTGGCTTCGATCCTGTAGTTGATTAATGGCATAGAGACAGATTTACAAGTAATTGACACTGTCGAGCTTCTAGGTGCATGTATATAACTATCACAAATCATTCAACCTGGAATATACACATATACATAGTGATAGCTAAATCTACTTTCTTATTCAGCTATAATTAAGGGAACGAAATTACTACCACCTACAATTTGTTTTAGCAACGTATCGATCAATACACTGAATGAAATGAATGAATATAACTAAGGTTATATGCTTGCATACTATGATTAAATTAAACAGTATACTTTTGTTTTGATACCGAAATACTTCACAGTCCAATATTTAGTTGTACGTATATGTGTGTCTGTGAGCAAAGTATACAAATTGATAAATTTTACTTAATTTCGATGAATATTGGGTGATAAAATAGTTTGTCATGTTGGTCCATTGAATTCGCTGGTAAAGGCTTCTTTTTGAAGACCCGTTAAAATCTGCACACGAAAGTATTTAAATTAATTCGCTTCAATCACCGCTTGAACATACAAAAAGTTTCTCAAAATCTTAATTTGATACATATAGGCCTGCATGTTGTGAGGCTTTCAGATTATCTTTCCAGGATTAGCGGTGCCATCTTAAGGTCGCAATGAATTGTGGTCTAACGAAACGGGTTAGTCTAAACGGATAAGCCAAGATTAGAGTTCTCGTTCTATTTTTGTTTTAACAACATGAATGTCCAAGCGGTGAGACTCGAAGACCATGCATGCGAGGCACTCTCTCGTACGAAGATATATAATACAATTTCAAATAACATCAATATCTACACATATTACGTGAATAATAAGTCTGTAGGTGTGCGTATAAATTTCGGAAACATACGTGCTATTTAAAAATAAAATCGTGAAGCCAGCACGTATACTAAACTCGTGTCAAAAGATTCATACGTCAAAGAAGTAAAAGTGGAAGATATTTTTTTTATTTCAAATTTTCTTGTATTGTTTCAAATAACGTCATTCTTTCCAATTTTGTAAACTTTTATTTGTAGTCTGTTTCATGTGATTGGGCACAGTAGCTGGTCCAATAGATACAGGCTACAATTACGAATTAAGTGGCGTACTTTCTGGAGGCCTAATTTTATCTCACGTTTCAAGAAGGCTGCACGTAGTTTCTGGAAGCCTAATTTTATCCAACGTTTAAAGTCAAGTACAGTGTTTAAATAATGATGATTTATTTGACTTTTATTTCGCAGCCCAACGGCCCTGATGAATATAACATAATTCTATTAGGCAATTAAGTACTTTATATTCTCAGGGGCGGCGCTAACCCTCTTCGAGTGGGGGGGGGGG